TCTTGTTTCTTGTATCTTGGCGAATGGTCTAGTATTTACTAGTAGGGTAGGCTGGTATATAAAAGAGGGTAATGTAATGTGTGTGTAGACAGTGAGTAATTGAACTGCAGTCAGAGAGAGACGTATTGTTGTAGTTAACGTTCGTTCGTTATTATAGTTTGTTATAACGCGACTGTTGAGAATAAGTGTATCGTAAAGTTATATTCGGAAAGAATAAACCAGTTTTATTAAGTAAGACTTGTGTCGTTAAAGTTTCGTTGGAACGAAGTTACGGAAAAATCAATTAACAAACGGAGACGTAACAGTAACATTTAAAGTGTGCCCAAGCCCCCAAAGTGCGAAGCACGTTTTTGCGACTGGGGACCGAGATCCATGCATCCTCGGATTCACAGTTTAAGCACACTAGCCATTTGATCACGCCCGGCCCAACAAAATGCTTTCCTTTATTTGAAACTAGCAGAGTCATGCAAAATATACGCGGTCAAATTAACATCTTTATACAATAATACTTCTTTAAATACAGGATTTCTAGAATAAAACAATAGAATTCTAATCGATGATACCGAAATCTATTAATCCACTTGTCTTAGGCCTAACATTAGTTAAGCCTTTATCAAGCACGGCCTATATTTGATAAAGAAATAAATTAACACTGTAACTAGTAAGAAATACCAGACATAGCAACGCTTTCAAAACCTGGGTATTGGGGGAAAATATTAAAACTCAACAGGGTAACGGTACTGGCACTCTAAGTGTCTATATATAAACAAATGAAGAAATTCCCCCCACAAAGTCCTAACACATAACACCTCTGAGTTCGAGTTCTGAGGGATGACATGTCCATTCCCCAAATACATTTCCATTTCCAATGCATAGTACTATCTACACTCACCACTCCCGTACACATAGTATGACGTCATTCGTAGTTCCTTACTTCTAATTTCATGCTTGCATACTTTAATGAAGTTTTAAAAGCTTACTACGCACGCACACACGTTACTCTTTTAATTATATAGATATAGATTTTGCTACAACACGTATGAGATTTTGGTTTCCAATCCATTTCGTTCAGCCTTAATCATAATGTAACTTAGTGCCAGAGTATTCTGTATATATATTAGTGAGATATCAAGACAGGTGGTATTTCTTCAATTTTATAATGCAAGTGCTAATAGATAATGCTACTCTACCTTTGATTTTGAAAGAATAGCAAGCTATAATATCAGTTAACATTATGTTTATTAATTTATATTTTAGTTGATAGAGTATCGATAATATAAAACGCGAAAGGAGAAATCATTTATTAAACGCTGAGCCTTTTCAAAATTTGACAATGATTTCTTAAGCTCGTAGTTCGGAGGATTTCAGCATTGAATGTTTTCGTCCTATATTTATTGTCCGTCTATGACCAGTAGAACAAATTTTAAACTTAATGAATAATGATGTGTGTATGTCACTTGACAAATTACTGACATATTAAATATCGTTGTTTTTTCTTTCCTGAAATCAGAAAGCGTGTAGCTTTTTTTTTTCAGTCATTTGTTTATCTTAAACATCTCATCACCAGAGAACGCGAGTATCGAACTGAATCAGTGAATGAATGAAACATTCGACTATGTTTAGATTAGGCATACCAAACATAGGCTTTGAAAATCGGAAACTAAGCCTATGGGCATGAGGTATGTTTTCTCAAACGTTAATCTGATCCATATGAATCGTTTTGGTGACTTATGTTTTGGTAAGTGACATTGGTTTTACTCTTACATCAAAAAGTATTACTGTAATCACATTTTAGTTGTGTGACTCCTTAGACTGTTAGAGGTAGACAAAAATTTGAAAGCCATTTTGCCAGAAATCAAAATACTGTATTATGTATACTATCCTATTACTATTAGGATTAGTAACAAGTAAACACTAAGTGCACGGGAGGAGTTCAAAGTGTGCATGCCATGACCTCTTATAGAGTGCCATTTACCATGGTATTGTGTGTATATGATGCCAGAGTTATCAACTGTTTCATTTTACACTCCATTGCTGATTTAAATTTAAGTATAACGGTAGTGGTACTGGTAGTAAGAGTAAATACCAGATGCAATCTACGGAGACAGTGAAAAAACTGTAGATTACTATTAAGATACGCATTTCATAGATTGTAGAAGTTATCCAATATGTAACCTGTATGATAGACAAAAGTTTTTTATATTTTTCATGTGAATGTCACTTTGCACTCCATAATCCATTTTCAGTCTAAATCTTGAGTGCAAATACCTTTGTAACTCATCTGATTTTTTGTGTACATCATGCTTGTACATTTTACTAAAAGTTTGTGACATTTTATGTAGATACAAATAGTAAATTCGTAATTATAGTAAACAATCTTTCTCCAAATCCAATGCAATACATATTCAATTAAATACTATAGAATATAATTCTACCACTAAACTTGGTCAAAAATTTCACTGATTATTTGAAATTATGTCACTATCATAAGGTTTGTGCCTGTGATGCTGACAAGGTCTTAGTTCTCATGGTGTTAACAAATAATATTTGGATGCCTAATGATAATAACATTAAATTTTATATGAGATGTTAAGTTCTTAAAATGGTACACACACCTACCAATTGACCTGCATTTGGTCACCTGAACCCAAAGACCTGCATTACACTGGAGGAAAAAAACTTCAAAAGAGGTGGAAGAAAAGTTTATTATTTGTCATGGAATTATTACAAAATTCTAAAAAGAATCAACCATTTAGTGGTGGAAAAGGATAAAAACTTGAAGCAACATTTGGATCCAAAAGAAATAAAGTAATTGTGGTTGTCCAAGAGCATTTTTTGTGGTCAGTGGGTTATTTTGTTATTTATGGATGGGGCAGTACCCTTTGACAGCTTCTAATAGCTTTCAAGGTTTATAAGACACAACTTTAGAGAAGCATGGTCAAAATTATTATTACTAAATGATGTGAAAGAGAGAGAGAGAAGAATATTTTCAACCATAATCCTAATAATATTTCATAAGGTTTGGACAAAATAGGAGTTTTAGGTTATGCCAAAATCATCTTCATAAGCATAAACATTAATTGATAAATATATAACTAAAATTGTTTTTAAATATTATAACCAAAAATATCAAAGAAACCAACTATAAAAAATAAAGAAGTAGGCCATCATTTACAGAAAACATAAAAAAAACCTTAGATGTACACAGTGTACCAATACACAAAACTTTACTACATTTACGGACTTAAGCTGTGCTTGGTGTTTTTCACAATTATGTAATTGTGTTGGCAGTATGTAACCTAATGCATATCAGATATTCTTTCAGACTTGGAATTTTACAAGTATTATTAGTATTAATAACCATTTGCATACCAATCATGTTCTCTTGCTTAGACCATCCATAATAGTGTGAATGCAGCACTGCTTTATTGTTGTGTGTGTGTGTGGGGGGGGGGGGGGGACAATCACTTGAGATCCCTTCCTCAAAGGAACTAATAGTGAACATATACCTGCCTAAGAGTTTTACAGTCAGAAAGATGTCCATTTATCACTGCTAATGATATTAAGGTCTTGGATGTGAGGAGGATGAGGGTGCTTTACAAAATAATTTATATTACTTGGTGAGTTGGGCAAATACATGGTAGATAGCTTTTAATTATAATAAATTCAAAATAATACATGTGGGTTATCATAATTGAAAGTTCATTGTTCATATGTTATTTTGCCCATATTGTGTGTTGTGTTGAGGTTTCTTGAAACAATAGGAGAAAATGTTATTATTACCATTTTTTTATACAAACTTCCATATTAGACTGTTGATGCTGATTGTAAAGTGTTCAGTTATGCTGTATTTTAGGAAATTTGCTTGGTTAGTTTCTCATTGTTTAATACTGTGTAGGGGGGTTGGTTTCTAAATGAGCATGTGAAGGATGCTACAAGTGAATATGCTATTTCAACTCTTTTTAGTATTACTAGAGTACTAGCAATAATATTGCCTTTGATGTTCACATATATATTGAAACCAGTAGTTAAGTTAGTAGGGGTCATGTTCTTGATTTGGAGAAAACTGACTTTCAAATCTGCAGGAAATTATAAGAGAGAGAAAGAGTGGATGCCTATCTAAATGGAGTAACATTTACTGAATTCATCAAATATTTATTAGTTTCATCACAGTAGCTAAGAGTATTGTATCTTTTCAAAAATCTTGCATTTCGACAAAAAAAAACGATTTTTCAATGGATAACTGAATTAATGAAAATATATACATTGAACTTTCAAGAATATAAAGTATACTAGTGAAATGTGAACATTATGAATTTTACTGCAGTAAATGAACCAATATTTTCAGTAAGGACCATTGCCTTATTTTAGGGAGTGATTAGCCCTGCCCTCTCTGAGCTTCAGGTCCACATGGTTCACCTTGTAGTATCTTTAGGGCTCCTGCCCAAAGTAGGTGAAGATGCTAGCACAGCAATTGTAGTTGGATGTTTTGTCACAGCATAAAAACTTTATGGGGCCAACCTTGAGAAGGATGTGAATGAGGAAGAAGTTACAAAACAGCTGGTGATTGAAAATGCATCAGGAGTTAATAATTTGTTTATGGAATTATTAAATTGGCTAAGAAGAGTGATGCAGGCTGTATGTGGAACAGAAAGTATACTGGAGGATTTGGACAAGGATTGTTATTGTACCATTACTTAAAAATGGTAAAGAAGGGGGAGTGCAAGAGGCACAAGTTTACAAAGTATATTTGTCAAAAATTTCACAAGAGTCTTGTTGAACAGAATAAGGGTATCATGGAGAGGAAAATGCAACACAACTAGTGTGGTTTCAGAGCTGGGAGAGAATGTTTCAACCAAGCATTCACTACCATACACTGTATGAATTGGTAAAAGATCTGTACGCATATCTGATTTGTTGACTTCAAATAAGCATATGACTTTATGGAGAGATGGGCTATGATATATGGTTGTGTTATTATGACTATCTCCTCTGAATAAGAGAACAATTCTGAACATTGCTATCTCTTTCCTAAACTTATAATCACTCTCAGTAAAATCTCAGCTCCCAGAATCTCTGGACATGTTGAAAATCTTAACCATGGCTTCATGGGAACTACAGGTCCTTGTGTCAAGATTAGTCATTTAGTTCACATGGCCACGACCATTATCCCTCCAACCTGTAGATTTGATTTTGGAACTTTGTTCCATGGCTATGGGGTTTTCTTGGGCAATAGGGCAGTGGAGAGAGTCATTTCAGTTCTTCCTGGGCTTTACCCCAGTCTGTTTGTTGTGCCCAAGAAAACAGGAGGTTGGTGTCTGGTCAATGATCTTTTTCATTTAAATCAATTTCTAGATCCTCCAAATTTCTTGATGGAGTCATTCCTCACTCTGAATTGATATTTTTTGCCACAACTGTGTATGACCAAGTTAAATGTTGCCAATGCCTATCTGCACATTCACATAGTAGAGTCATCCTGCCACAAACTGTGTTTTGGGCACAAGGTTCTTGTGCTGCAGTTCAGGGCTCTGACCTTCAGACTAGCATCAGCTCTATGTGTGTTCTGCCAATTCGTAGGAACCTGTCCTCGTCTCTTCCATTCCTTCGGCATATGCACACACCATTCCATAGATGTCTGGCTACTTCTGGCACCATCTCGTCAGTTGGCAGAAAATCACACCCAGATACTGCTTTCCGAAGCAACCAAGACAGGATTTCTTATCAGAGCCGAGACATCTCTTCTCATTCTAACACAATATATCATCCATATGGGTATCTTTTTCAACATGTATCTCAGTTGATCTCAGCCTACTTCTTTCCGGCTCCACACTATGGAAGAGACATTCTGACTCTTACTCATGTCTCTTTCTCCCATTGTTCTTTATCTTTTGGGGGATGTGGGCATCACTCAAATCTCTCATTCCTTTGGGACAAGTGCACATGACATCATTTCATTGGTTTCTACATGAACAATGGATCATGAGCAGCAATCCAGTGGATTCCTCAGTCTCCTTATTCAGGATCAACATCTTCAATCTCGAGTGGTGGATTGATCAGAACAATACTACAATCGATGTTCCTCTGCCACCACCTCACAGCTCCATCTTGTCACTAATGCATTGCTTCAGGGATGGGGGTGCATATCTCAATTGTCAGGAATTCCAGGGCCTATGGACAGACAACAAGGCTTCCCTCCATATCAAAGTTTTTGAATTTCTTGCTGTTCAAAGGGCAATGTCTCAAGGTCTAGAATAACTGAGGGGCAAAGTTGTCATGCTTCACTCTGACAATTCTATGGTGGTGTCTTACATATCCTGTTGAAGGGGCATTTGGTCCAGGACTCTTTCTTTTTGTGCCTTGGATCTTCCATATTAGACCCATTCCCATCATATCATCCTACTAGATTGCCTTGTTCCGGGGTGATGAAATTGGTTGTGAATCAATTGTCTCAACCCTTCAGGATTCTTCCGACAGAATGCATGCTTCATCAAGGAGTTTTCTGTTGGATTTGCTCTTGGTTTGGGACACTGATGATTGATGTGTTTGCCAATTCTTGGAAGACTCAACTACTGTCATTTTGGTCTCCAGTACCTCACTCTTGGGCATTGGCAATATATACATTCAAACAAGACTGGACTGGATTGCACCTACATGGCTACCCACCTATTCTTCTGTTATCCAGAGTCATAGCAATGATTCATTCAACCCCTGGTCACATTCTGTTAGTAGCACCGGATTGGGTGGCTCAATCCTGGTTTCCACTTCTGCTGTACCTTCAGGAGTACCCACCTCTTCCACTTCCTCTTTGGCTGTCTCTGTTGAGGTAGACACGATCCAACATCTTACACCCATCCAATCTGAAGCTTAATCTTTGTGCATGGAGGTTATGCGGTCCTCTGCACAGTGTCGCAGTTTAACTTCTAAGATTGCCATGTACCTGTATCAGTCTCTGCGTCATCCCATAATGGACATTTATCAATGGAAATGCACATATCGACAATGTTGTATTGTGAGGAGGTTGAACACACATCATCCAGACGTGCCAACCATAGCTATGTTTTTGACCAGGCTCTGTGACAAAGAGTTTTGCATCTTCCACAACTGCCCTATATAAGGTGGCCTTATCAGCTACCTTTAGATACTAGAAGAGATGGAAATTTTTTGAGTCCCCAGTGCTCTCTGGCCTCTTCAAGTCACTTCGGGTCATTTGTCTTAAGGTTTATTTTTTGTTGCTGCTGGTCTGTGGAGGTTGCCAGTCAGAGTTGTTTGCACTGCACAGGATGCTTTATCATTCTACGTACGTTTTTCTATACTCAGACAGATCCTTCTTACTTAAGACATTGGCAGCCAGGGTAGGGGATAAATCTTTTCACCTATACATCTGACTGCTATTTCTCACTTCTATGATTGATCAGATCCTGATTGTTTGTTATGTCCAATGAGGGCCTTGAAGTGTTATGTTGCCTGCACTAAAGCTTTTAGAGGTACTAGACAAAGGCTTTTTATTCATTGTGACCCCCCAGTTTGTCGGAGTGAGTACAAAAATTGATACATATTGCTTATTCTGGGCTCTCTTTGGAGGCAAGGAGACTTCTGCGAGTAACATCTCATCAGATTCATCACATTTTTATGTTCTTAGTGGCCTGGTTGAATTATCCATTGGAGGACATTGTGCGGGCTGGTACATAGACCTCCCCCAATACTTTTATCTCACAGTATTTGCAAAATCTGGCAATATCTTTCTCTGAGGGTTTTCGAATACACCTCTAGCTATCTGCTAGGTTATAAAGAGGGGTATTTTCTTTACTAATCTTGTCTCTTCTTTCCATTCCAGAGTCTCTTACCTCTTTTTTCACAGGATCCTACTCTGTGACAAGTGTTGTCCAGTCAGATGTGCTTTTATCAAACCAGATCTGCACTATCTACAACAAACACAATATACTTTACTTAGGTTGCAACAGACTATATAGAAATGAGATGTTTCATAAGACCACCTAGAGGCAGACCAGATAGTATTACTGTACTATGCTGGACCGCCACTCATGGACACTCATGAGTAAAGCATAAGGGGATCCTGCCCATCCCTGCTAATCAGTGGATTGAATAAATTTGGGTTGGTTTGCTTTTAAAAATTTATGTACTTTGGTTCACCTATTGCACTATTTTCAGAGCATTGTTCCTCAGGACTCCTCAGTGTGCATTATCCTCCCACTACCACCTCCAGTATTCTACTAGTGGAGCTAGGGAGTCCTTACCATTCCCTGTTTCCAGTCACTGGGGTTGTCGACAGAGGTTATTCCTCCAGAGTGTACGAGCGAATTTCCTCCACTCTTGGAGAAGGGGGCGAAGTTGGGGCTCTCCTACTCAGTACTCTGGATGTTTTTTTCCTAGATGTTGGTAGGAGTGGCACCAGCTTACACGGGAACCAACTTGTAATACTGGTTCAGATTTGATGCTTAGCTATTCATTTGGGTTGAGCGTGGCCATTCATTTTGATTAATATTGGTTCATACATTGTTCATGGAAGAAGGTCCAATGTCTCCTCATAATTCCAAATGCAGAGTGGTCCCATCCTGGGTCCTTGGTTGAGCACCATTTGTTCCATGTCCTCCCCATAATTCCAGGGGCAAGTGAAATTTTTCTTACCTACATGGGGAGTGAGGATGAGTGTTCATAATTCCAGACCAGATTAGTTCTGTTTCCTCAAGTTAAGTATGGCATACAGGATCCTGTCATTCTGAGTTTGGGATGTTGCTTTTTGGATTTCTTCAGGTTGAAGAGAGGATTTGTCCACTTAGGAGTTGCATACCTTCTCGTCATTTTTCTGGTGGCTCGGAACACATCACTTTATAGTTACAGGTTAGGATCTATTCACAAATATATCTTTTGTGGTCCAAATGCCCTAGCCACCAACATGGGATTTAGGGACCATGGCCCTGTGATTCTAACCCTGAGCAGTGGGACCTCAGTTACCTTGTTGGGACCTGGCCAATGGTGATGACGGATCATGTCAAATTCCACCCGCAGTGCATGCTTTGGGTTCTGGGTGAAAAGCATACCTGTTCTGGATGCTAATCTTCTACTGGCATGACAGTGATCTAAGCAGATGCATTCTGTATGGATAATGCCCTCACCGGCCCCTCCACCTTATCAAAGTGGGATGCTAGCTCTAGTGTAAGGTATGTTTGTTAAATCAAAAATGTATTTCCAATATTTACTTTTTTGTCATATTCAAAGGTTCTTATTCATTTTCTAACCAAAGTGTTACTGTTTATTTAGAATTATTTATTATTACTTATTGATTTGGTTGATGTCTTTGTTAAAGGCATATGTTTAATTAACCAACACTGTTGTTAACAAAGTTAGTTATAGTCGAAGGTCCATATTTATTTTATAATTTAACTGTTAGTGTACTCTTAACTGTTTTTCTGATTATTTATTACAATTTTTATTAGGTATAGTAAATTAGATAACAGTTTTATGTTAAAATGACTAAGACTGTTAATCTGCTTCGAATGGTGACTACTAAATAGATTTGTTTCGTTTAAGTTAGTTGCAGTTGTTTTAATTGGCCACAGTAGGTGCTCTTGCAATAAAAGCTTACTGTTTGTAGCTTTATGAGTATAAAACATAGCATTAAATATATGTAATAACCATGTATTTATTTTTTATTTAAAATATTAAAATATGATTACTGTTTTGTATAATGTATTTTTAAATTAAGTGCAAGTGTTTTATTTCATTTATATGGATTACCTGTAAAATAAAAAGGATTGTCAATTAAATATAAACTAGTAATCATGGTAATGTCATCAGTAAATTATGCAAATTAGTACTTGAAGGTTCGAACCTTCATTAAGAAAGGTGTTCTGAACCTTAAAAGGTCAAAATCTACCCTTCGTTACAGCTATTTTGTATACCAATGCTACAGATAAGGGGCTTATCAGCATAATTCTTTACCAAAAATCAGCCATTTATGGCCTTAAAAAAATATTGAGAAGTTGATTTACTGCATTGGGAAAACAAATACAGTTCCTGCTGCTTTAATGGTAGTACAGTAATTAATGAGCACATTCTTGTAGCTTTCTGCATTTACGCACAAGATTGCACAGCACACAGTAGAGCTACAAAAATAAACACACACTAACCACCAGAAGTTTCTATTGGTGCACTTGTGAATGATCCAGTTTTGTGTAAAAAAGATAAAAGAAAGATAAAGTTGTATTTGTGTTTATTATGATTACATCTGGTGATTTAATTTGTTAAATTACTCCTGTGCCAAGTTTCACCTTTTGAAATAATAAAATAATTCATAATTAGTTAAATTACTTTTTATCACAAAATGTTCCTCTTGCACTTTGTAAAAAAATTTATAATTACTACCACTTACAGAATTCGGGGAATGATTACTCCTTAGAGAAAAAAAAATGACCTGTAGCACTACTGGTATACTGTTGTTTTTTTCCATGTTGTGTTATGATATTGTGATTTGTTTCCGTTCCTGAAACTCGTGTTGATTGAGATGTGCTATTTTTTTAAAAAATATGTTACATTGATTTAAAATAACAAGAGAAGTTACAATGAAACTAAATTCTATAATAAATTAAAATTTCAATTTCCTTCCATTTAACTTACTTATCTTGAACGTTATGCTCAACTGCTGTCAAAACAAAATTCCACACATACAATTTTGTCAGTTTCTAATAATTTTTTCATTGCAGTGCCAAATAATACAGAAACAGACTCACTTGTTGCTGGGTAAAACATCGATCTCAAATCTGCATTCTAGAGAGAGAGAAAGGATAGAAGAAGAATGATATAAAGGTATAATAAAATTATACTTTTGCTTGTTAAACTTCAATACTATCGCTTATATTTTAATACAGATTATAACTTCTATACATCAGACAACTTTAATCCAATAGTGATTAAATGAAGTACTGGCCATGATGATAGAAGTGATGGTAAAAGTTGCTATCCATAAGATGAATGTATAATACCATATTTTAGTTTGTGACAGCATTACTATTAACAATGATATCAGCTGTAAGATCCTAATGACTAAATGTTAAAAACCATAAAACAAAACAGCTTCCAGAGGCATTGTTTTAATAGATTTATAGCATTTTGACTAAAAAGAGGCCTATGGTTATAAACATTTTGTGCAAAACTATAATGTATTTTTTAAATTTGAGGGCAAGTAGATTTATAAGAAGTATTTTCACAAATTTGTATCTCATGTAACATTATTTTCTCCTGTATTTGTTTCAGGATGTCTTGCAGTAGTTTGGCATTAACTGTTTCTGTTTGTTTACTAGTGAGGAAGCCAATAATGTAGGGATTTTATTCTCCATGTAAAGTCTTAGTCTGCTATGTGATCCATAGCCAGATCAGGTGATGTGTCCACTTCTATCCCTATTCTTTTTTTTCAAGTTCAGTATCCAGCCCTATATAGTTTTTATATTTAGCAATAAATTGTTTTCCTAATACTTGTACAAATAGAACCAACTACCCTTCCAAATTTTCAGCACACCTCTCTTATAACTCCATGACTTATTACAGTTGTTACATTAGAGTTATCAACTTTTGCTGGAGTTAAGGATATTAATTTAATTTCAAATGTTAATATTTAATATCCATACTTGATTCAATCGAACAGTCGTGAAAATATACCTGAAACCCACCTAATACACTTGAGGTTGATATCACATGTTCCGGCAAATACCTTAATTTTTAATAGCCTTAAATACATCATCTTGTATGATTTCTTTCACGTTAAGAATTGTAAGAGGATTTTTCTTACCAACATGTTTTGTTTGTGATGTTCTGTTTTGTGTGTGTCTATCCTTGATTGTTCTACCATTTAAGCATAGCGTAAACCTATTTAGCCATTTAGTTAAGCACAAGACACAGTTGCCTCATTTGCATTAAATTAAAAAATAAACAGAATTAAAAAACTAAAATAAATCAAACTTACTAACCACTTGGGTGTTAATAAAAGTAACACTAAAACTTTTAAACACATGAAAAAATGCTGTTAAAAAGCTCGCAGTAAATCCATCTTTTTTTGGACCCACTTCACATAGCATATGTGTTCATCCACGGTTTACAAATAAAAAACAGATGATTTTTTTTTAGAAATTTAAGCTGACTATAAGACTTAATAAAAATAATTGATTCTCAGGTGGAAATGCTTAAAATCTTCAGAGTAACCAGGTTTGTTTGTTTTTTGCTAGCTTTCTAGGTAACTGCTTACCAAGGTCACTCATGAAAGTAATGTACATTCACGGACCATTCGGTGAGGTCAGGTAATTGTTATGTATTTTACCTTTTAGTCATTTATTCTGGGCAAGGGTATTATAGGACCATTCAGTGAGGTCAGGTAATTGTTATGTATCTTAACTTTTAGTCATTTATTCTGGACAAGGGTATTATAGGACCATTCAGTGAGGTCAGGTAATTGTTATGTATCTTAACTTTTAGTCATTTATTCTGGACAAGGGTATTCTCCTCAAAAATCAAAGAAGAAGAAATTTCTTCCGTATGTTTAAAATTCCCCTCATGGATGCCTGAGAATCAGTTACTAAATTTTATGTAATCTAATAATTTATCATTTTTTATTTAATAATTATGTACATGAACATGATTGTGTGATGATGGGGTTAAGTTTTTGTAGCTATGCAATAATAATTTCTTATATCAAAGGAAAGCATAATATGGGCATTTTAGTAATGTAGTTAAGAAATAAATAAGGGAGCACTATATTATAGACTCTGTAATTTTTATTAGAAAATGTACATACCATACTCTGTGCTTGAGTCATTATAGTAGGGAATGTATGTGTAAAGGACAACATTTGTTTCATTTAATACATTTAAGGAATATAGTTTTTTTTTAAGTTCTATATTTGGTAAAAACATAGGTTGTGTTTGAATTATCATACATAAGGAAGTTACATGTGAATTTTTGCCATTTTGTATTTGAGTTAATACTCACTCACAAGGTATATACATATGGTATTTTTAATGTTTCTTGGAGTTTTTACATGTAAAGATAACTCAGAAATAAATTTTGGCATCAAACTAATGAAAGCTAGTTTTGCATTCTGCCCAAAACACAAAATGTCTGGTATTCACATGAACATTTCTCATATGTGTGTGTGTGTGTATATATATATATATATATATAT